CTAGAGGTGCTGAACATGGTGGGATGAGGGGCGTCTGGAAAGAGTCTGGAGTGCTGTTTTGTTTGGAATGTGCTGAGACCTTCCTCAGAAGGTCTGGAGCTTTTTCCCTGTGCTTGGTGCTTCCGTGACTCACGCGTCTTGGCGATGACCCATAGGGCCCGCTGCCACCCCACTGTCTGCAGTGGCTTGTTTGGCAGATGGAGCCAGGTCCATGTGCTTGCAGCAGGGAGTTGGATGAGCCAGGCTGACTCATGAGAGACTGTCAATTTTTGTTGTTTGATTTTTGGTTTTCTGGGACAGAGTCTCACTGTGTAGTCCAGGCTAGTTTCAAACTCAGGGCGATCCTCCTGCCTCAGCCTTCCAAGTGCTGGGATTACAAGCATATGCCAACCACGCCTGGTGAGATTGCCATTTTTGTGTGTTGAAAATATAAGAATTTGTTAGTGTTGACTTTAAATAGTTTAAGACATTGCATTTTCTACTTGTAATACATAGTTATAAAGTATAATGGTACTTCGTATCCCTGGGCACCTTGCATATTCAGGTATTGAGATGCCTGGTACTTTCTGTAAAAGCTGTCACAGAATTTGCTGAGAGTTTGGGTCCTTCAGTGTTTTTGCTGTGTGGAACAGTGTTCCATCCATGCTTGGGTGGAAAGTGCAGGAATAATTGGAACAAACTGTAGTGTTCTCTGCTTTAACCTGAGCTATGGCCAGAGCCCTTGAGGGGCGGTTCAGGGCAGTCTCTGGTGTCCAGTGCTGTTGCCTCCCCAACAGGTTTGGGATCCGTAGCCATCAGATGCTGGGCTTGCTGCTGCTTACAGAAAGCATAGAGGTTGGTCTCCGTCTCCGAGCCCTGGTGGTCTAGGTGGGAAGGTGAAACCAGCACTGTGGAGCATGCGCCCGGGAGGCTAGGAGGGTTACGGTTTAGGGCCAGCGGGGAGAGGCGTGGATGACGGAGTTTAGACGGCAGGCATCCTCAGGACAGCGGGTGGGAGGGAGACACATGTTACCTGGCCTTGCGCTAGAGCTGCTAAGTCAGGAGTTCTGGTGAGGGGGCCCAGGTCTCGCCCTGCTAGGCGAGCGCTCACCCCTGAGCTACACCCCAACTTACAAGCAGGGTTTTAGGTCGATTGTGAAGCAAAACAGTGGTGTGGGGTCTGCTCTGGGTTGAGAGGGACAGGGCCGAAAGGACATCAGATGTGAGCCGTGGTGCTGAGAATCCTCCCTCGCACTGTGGGAGGCTGCAGGAAGAAGGCTGAGTCAGGCTAGCCGGGGTGGAAGTACCCCTGTGTGTGCAGGGCCAGGGGTGTGAGCCCTGTGGTGTGTGTGACTCTGAACTGGACATGCCCGGGAGGCAGGAACTCAGTGAGGGCGTCAGCACTGACAGATGCACCCCTGGGAGAGGGGGTTACTCACAGCCCTGCTCTGTCCTAGGGAGGGAGATCATGAAAGAGTCTGCCAGGCAGAGAGCTAGGTGCGCACTTGAAAATACCTGGGCAATCGCTGGATGCTGTTGGCTGCGGTGGCGTTATAGTTACGTGAGACAGCATTTCTGTTCGTGTCACCTACTGCGCTGTTGTAGATGGGACACATGTCTGGGACTTGCTTAAAATACTCCGCACAGCCAGGCTTGGTGGTGTACCCCTGTATCCCTAGCATTCTGGGAGGCTGAGGCAAGAGATTCACAGGTTTGGGCCAGCCTGGGTGATTTAGTGAGATCCTGTTTCAAAATAAAAAAAAAGGGCTGGGGATGGAGCTCAGTCAGTGCAGAGGCCCTGGGTTCATCCCTGATACCAAAACAAAAACAAAAAGCTAAAAGCACCCTCCAAGCAAGCCAGTGGTGAAGCTGGCCAGGGGAATGGCAGCCACTGAGCCCGATGCTTTGCCTTTGCCTCTGTCACAGTTCCACCAGTGGCCCCATCAGGCAAACTGAGGCACTGCCTTTGAACAGTGCCCCCCCATCTGCAGCGCTTGCTGGTCTCTTGCAGTACATCAGAGCCAGGGTTTGAAGGAATAGACCAGGCAGAGGCGGTGGGTGCCAGCTGCTCTGTGCGTCAAGCTGCCCCTGTGAGGCGGTGTTGAAGGCCCTGCCTGGCCAGCAAGGCAGTGAGTGCCAGCAGATCTGAGGCCCCAGGCCCTGGGGACCAGGGGAAGGAGCCTCCTTGGCGTGCACGCTCGTGGTGGAAGGGACACTGTTCAGCTTTTTTGCTGTTCTCCTTATAAATGGATCAAATCTAGTCTTTGGAGAGCAGCCTGGAAATAGAGTGTGCTTTCCAGTAAGTCATTTATGTTCTTCTGTTTATTGATCACACCTTTGAGACACCGTTCCAGGATCCCCACACTCACGCACTGTCTTGCAGACCGTGGTGCAGAGCTGGAGCGTGAGGCCCACTCCCACCTCCTGGCTACAGTCCCAGGTTAGTGAAAGGCAGCCTCAGCTTGGGTTCCCGGTCCGGCAGCCTCGGCCTCTCCTGCAGGTTTCCTCCCAGTTCTGCCCCCTTCTTAGTGCCCACCTGACCCAGCACTGTCCTCAATGCCTCCTGCTGGCATTGCCGGCTAAGGTCCCTGCCCCCGGTGGACGACTCCTTTCAGGATACGTGACACCTGTGTCCATCTCTCTGCCCAGAAGCCACAATTCTTGCAGGAGCCGGGGCCAGGCACCGTGTAGCTTCAGAGTTCCCATCTCTGCAGACTGCATGTGCCTGAGCTCAGCTACCAGGCAGCCCGGTCCTCCTCATGGAGCTGGCCTTCGCACTGCTGTTCTGCTGTCTGAAATTCTTCCCGGATAACCGTGTGGTTGCTTCCTTCACTTCCTCCCTCTCTGCCCAGACATCATTTCACTGTGGACACTGCAGTCAGATGGAAACACCCAGTAGCCTCCTTTGCTCCAGATCCCTCCTGCCTCCCCGCCAGCCTGATTTCTCGAAGGTTGTGGAGTGTTTACAACAGCTGGCGAACGGTCCCATTCCTCCTGAGCCGCCCTCAGCGAGTCGGTCTCAAGGGTTGTGCTTATAGCCTAATGGGGTGGGAGGCTGAGGAGGAGGAGCCTCTAAGCCCAAGAGCTTAGGACTAGCCTGAGCAACACAGTAAGACCCTGTCTTCTCAAAACCAAAAACTTAACCAGGACATTGCTGGGGCCAGGGTGTCTTTACCCTGGTTCAGCAGCAGCTGCGTCTGTGACTTTACTCACGCCAGTGCTCAGGGTCTTCATCCATGCTTTCCAGAGCCTGGCGCCCTGGTCAGGGAGCACACTGCAGCCACGGTCAGTGCAGCAACACATGGACGCGCAGTACCTCACATGGGACTCCATGGAGGAAGTGGACTCCTGAGTTACTGTGAACGTGTCACGTGATGCTGCCACACATCCAGAAAGCGTGGATAGTACAGTGAGTCAGCACATCCCAGCACACAGGTGGCACTCTGGTACCCAGTGCTTCTACTCTAGGGTGAGGACCAGCGCCTTTCCCTAAAGGAGCTGAACAGTGGGTGGGTAGGCTCAGCAGTCCAGAGGGTCTTTTGCAGCAGCAGTAAACTCTGCCATTGTACTGAGAACACAGGTGGCGACCATTCCTACACTGACGGCATATTTGTGGCCCAGTAAAATGTTATTGATGGATAGCTGGGTGTGGTGGTGCATGCCTGTAATCCCAGGATTTGGGAGGCTAAGGTAGGAGGATTACTTCGAGTTTGAGGCTAGCCTGGACGAATAATGAGTTCAAGGCCAGCCTGACTATATAGTGAGACCCTTCTCAAAAGGACAAAAAAAAAAAAAAAGAATAAATGAAAGAAGTTGGGTGTGGTGGCACACTCCTGTAATCCCCAGCACTCAGGAGACTGAGGCAGGAGATCTTTGGGAGTTTGAGACCAGCCTGAGCTACAAAGTGAGCTCAAGGCCAGCCTGAGCTACACAGCGAGACCCTGTCTCAAAAAGACCAAAAAAAAAAAAAGCATAAATGAAAGATGATGGTAATAGCAGTCGTTTGTCAAAATGCTTTCTCTGTGACAGGCAATGTGTTAAGCATGCTGCATGTTTTAATTCAGGGGATTCTCATGAGGAGGTAACAGTGGCAAGGAATAAACCATAGCTGCATATAGCAGCCAGGGTGAGTGCGTCTTAAAATGCCGAAGGTTGTATAAAAACCAAGTCACAAAAACTGCATGGCACCTGACACCATTTTTAAAGCCTTTTAATCATGCAAAATAAAACAGCACTGTTCAGGAGAAATAAATGGCAAAATCTTTCAAAAAGCAAAGGAAAGGAAGGCAAAGAGTGCTACCTTGGTGGAGAGGAGATGGCAGATGGCGTGAGTGTGTCCGTGAAGGGCCACGCATGCTCAGCTCTGCTCTCTGTCGGTTCCGAGTGGTCGCAGGACCTGTGCTGACTGGGTATGGGTAGGAGGTGTTTTCGCAGGGTGAAGTGGTGGTCAGCGTAGTGTCGTTGCACCTCGTTTTGATCTCCTGCGTTTCACATTAAGCAGACGTTCACTAGTGGAGGGTTCATACTTGTTCCTTTGGTGAGGTGCTTCTGATTAGAAACCATCGGTATGTATAAGCATGAAGGGTTAAAGCCTTTTCTTCCAGATGTTTGCCTCCCTAGATCTGATGAGGGGTTGCGTGCTGCTAGGATCTAGCTAAGAGAACTCAGCCTGAGAATGGAAACCACAGGCTAACTTGTTCACTCCCGCCATCCAAATGTTTGAAAAGAAAACAATTTAGACACCTGGGGCTGTTAGGAAATCTCCTAGCACAATCTCGTTCCTAAATTAGTGTCCTTTAAAAATTACGGAGTAGCTCATGGTAAGCGGGATTCAAAATAACATTTTGCTACAGAGGATCCAGTTTGGCTGTAGGAATTCTAGTAGGTGGCTACTGAGTGTATTGTTAAATTACACATCAAGCTTTTCCGTGTAATATGTGCATCTTTGACTTTATTTCCTTGTTGTGCCATCTCCACTCTTTCCTGAATTACTGACATGGGTTTATCTTTTCTCTCTTTAGAGAGTTTTGAGGTGACAGTCACCAAAGAAGGTGATCAAGGGTTCTTTGTCTCCCTCTTATGAATATTAACCCACTAACTTAGTTGATAAAATTGGGAATCAGCCCTTAAACAGAAGCAACTGTCATGCTCCTTTGCCCCTATTTATTCTCCTACTTTGTCCCTATTTTTAAATGTATTGATGGAGGGTGTATGTTATCAGACCCTTGGTTAGAAATATCTGGAAATCAGACATCCATTTGAACTACATGGACAGTACCATGCATTTTTGTTTAATTGAACTTCAGAGATTTGTTTCATAACAATTTTCTGTGTTGGAGTTGTGGACGAGTTCGGTCTGATTTTTATGTGAAATACTGTTCGTGAAGTTTCATATATACATCCAATCGTTTATGATTGTTCCTCCACGGGCAAGGACAGAAATGTGGATTTCGAACTCTTCATTCAGCTTTGAAGCCAATTCAGCTGTAGCGAAGTTCCCAAGCTGGTGTCTTTCGGGGTTGATAGGATAAAGCCCCCACAAAAGGGTAGCAAATCCCTCCCCGTGACAGAACCGGGTGACAGCTGTTGAAATGGATGCCTGAAAGTTGGTATTTCTACCTCTCGTTTAGCAGTTTGTTTTGATTCCCTAATTTTAGCCAGGCTCATTGCACAGGAAGACTTGGTTCTTTGGACTTTTTCTTGACAGAATTTCTGTAATTACGGTGCTGGTCCTATTTCTCACGCTTCTTTCTTTCTCCACACTTAACTGTGCATTTTATCCTCTCCCTGGTCCAAATCCAAAGAGCTGCCCGGTCCTCGGCCCTCGGCCCTCGGGTGGCCAGGGCAGCCCCGGTGTGCTCCGGCCTTGGCTGTCCACTAATGAGTCTCCTTTGCCCTCGAGCCCTCTAAGTGCTCCTGTGGAATGCCTGTCTATGTTCTCTCTCTCTCTCTCTTTTGTATTCCTGCATGAGTGGATGCAAAGTACACATGTTGCTTGGGAAGCCAGACTCTGCTTCTTTTGACTAAAGCCCCAGAACTCACCCGTGTTAAAGCACAGTGCCCCCTGCTTTGTCCACGGACCCTCCAATCCCTGGCTGCCGAATTGTTGTCATTTATTTCCTTTGGGGGAGGAGGGCGATGTGCAGAAGGTTCGCATGGCAGAAATCCTGACTTGTTGTGCTTGACTCCCCAGGTGAGATTTGTGGCTTTAAAATTCATGGGCAGAATGTCCCCTTTGACGCAGTGGTCGTGGATAAGTCCACTGGCGAGGGGATAATTCGCTCCAAGGAGAAACTGGACTGTGAGCTGCAGAAAGACTACACGTTCACCATCCAGGCCTACGACTGCGGGAAGGGCCCTGACGGCACCGGCGTGAAGAAGTCTCATAAGTAAGCGGGGGTCAGGGGTACAGCTCAGCGGCACAGCGCCTGCCTGGCAAGCGCAAGGTCCTGAGTTTGAGTCCTGATACCAAAAAAATAAAAAAATAAGTAAGCCAGCTGGCAAGGAGGGATGAGAACCCACTGAGGAGATGTGCGTGTGTGCGCGAGGTAAGGGAGGGACGGGCTGGTGCCTGTGCCCCCAGACTGTTTTGAAATTCGAGGCGGAAGAGTCTCAGTGTGTGCCCTCACTAATGGCAGCAGGCTCTGGAAAATGAATGAATGAATGATCTCACGCCACACGCTCCATTGAAGAAACAGGCCCTACATTGAACATTTCCAGAAGTCCACCTTTCCCTGAGGAAGGGTATGTCTTTGTTGTGTTCATGTTTTCCGGTAAACCCCAAGGGCAGGAGGTTGATTACCTGCACCAGCGAAGCAGTAGCCCCACTTCCACTATCCCGAGTGTGAGACGCAGGACGGTACAAGGTGCAGATGGAGACTCTAGTCTGTCTCTGCCACTTGCCAGCCCTTTGACCCAAAGCAGTTCAATATTGTCAAGGCTCCGTTTGTTCTTAGCATGTCTGCTCAGGACTGGGGGCTGGGGACCAGTTGCCATCACACACCCATGGCGAGGGCTGCATCTGATGCCTTTGGGATGTGGAAGCGCTCAGTGAGCAGTGGGGTGTGCTTGCTAGTGAGTCACTCTCGTCCTTTACACAGCGTGACTTTGCTGTTCCCCTTGCAAAGGATCGTGTTTTGGCCAGGTACCCTGACCAACTCAGAAACATGGACTGATGAGTAGCCTGTGAAATCTACAACTCTTATCATTGGGAACCTAGTTTTCTTGGTACCCAGCTGGAGTCTGGAAAGTGGCAGTAGGGGCCGCCCCCTTCGCTGTCGCCTTCATCCCGGTGGCTTCCCAGGGGGCACCCTTGTTCTCAGGCTCCACCTGCTCCTTCTAGGACAGAGTTTAACTCTCATCATCAAACTTTGCCACGCTTCTTCTATTTTCTTGCACTTTTCTTCCTTTGACCCTACTTTTTTACCTCTGGATTTTTATGATAGAATGTCTTTTTTCCTTTCTTTCTTTCTCTGTTCTTTTCTTCTTTTTTTTGACACAGGGTTTCACTATGCAGTGCAAGCTGGCCTTGAACTCACTTTGTAGCCCAGGCTGGCCTCAAACTCACTTTGTAGCCCAGGCTGGCCTCAAACTCACAGCAATACTCTTGCCTCAGCACCCCCAGTGCTGGGATTACAGGTGTGCACTACCATGCCCAGCCAATGAAATGTCTTTTATCTTTGTAATTGGAGAACAGACAGGTACCTGATATAAATAGATCACCCATCTTCACTCCCTGGCCCACACTGTCAGAGAAAAATCTAAAGTATCTGTCTTTTCCCTGCACCCAGCTATACTGGGAACTGAACCCAGGGGCGCATACATGCTAGACAAGAAAGGCCTCCACAGGCCGGGGATATAGCTCAGCAGCATAAGCACCTGCCTGGCAAGCGCAAGGTCCTGAGTTCAATTCCCTGTACAAAAAAAAAAAAAAAAAAAAGACCAAGAAAGGTCTCCGCCACCGAGCTGCATCCCCAGCCCCAGGTCTCCTTTCTTATATATTATTGATTTTTACTCAGCTTTAAGGACGTGGAGGAATCAACCTAGATCCTTATTTTAACTTTCTTTTGGCCCGTGCTGAACTGAAAACAGTGAAGTTTGGTTTAATTTTTTTGTCTTTATCGTGAATTTCATGAAACAAGGTAGCAGCGAAAAATAAATTTAAAAATAGGGCAGAATTGGTATTCTTTGGGTGAAAAACAGAATGAAACGCCCAAAACAGCTGTTTCCTCTTCTTTCTCCAGAGCAACGGTCCACATCCAGGTGAATGACGTGAATGAGTATGCACCCGTGTTCAAGGAGAAGTCCTACAAGGCAACGGTCACCGAGGGCAGGCAGTATGACAGCATCCTGCGCGTGGAAGCCGTGGACGCAGACTGCTCCCCTCAGTTCAGCCAGATCTGCAGCTATGAGATCGTCACTCCAGACATGCCCTTCGCTGTGGACAAAGATGGTGAGAGCAGAGCAGCCATGTCGAGAGTGGCCTTGACCTGTGCCATCCCTCAGCACCGGTGGTGGGTGGCATGAGTCTCCAGTCTGTCTTGATAGCTTCTCGGGAGCTGGAGGTCTCGTGTCTGCTGGGGCTTCCCTTTCTTCTTTTCCACCGTATCAAATAAGACCTTTGCTCCGCCTGCCTCCGACCCTCTGCTTCTCCCCGCTGCTCCATCCGCAGGCCTCGGAGTGAGCCTGACCTCTATGCAATTAGCACTTTCTGTCTGGTCTTTGTTTTCCCATCCCCAGCGGCGCAGGGGAAGGAGCCCAGGGCCTCGGCGTGCTGGCAGGCGCTCTCCTTCTGAGTGGCACCTCCAGCCCCCACCTCATCGTGGATGGGGGGTTCATACTGCATTACTTCTGCTAGGCCCACTCTGGCCTTAGTAATGGAATAAAAGTAGCTCTCTGGAACTTGACCTTCTTATGAGGTTAGAATTTCTTAATGATGATATGTGTCTCCATTGTTAATATGCAGTATAGCATCTTTAATGGAATTATGGGTAAATGTGAGTCTGCACTCACGTTCCAAGAGCAGGGTTCTGCTGGGCATAGTGGTGTCTGCATGTAATTCCAGCACTTGAGAGGCTAAGGCAGGATTGCTATGAGTTCAAAACCAGCCTGGGCTACATAGCAAGGACACTGTTTCCAAAAAAGCAGACTTGTCCTATAGGCAAGGAGGAGCAGGAAACTAATCTGTGTCCCTCCCTAAGTCGAGACTGATCCTGGCACTAAGCACATACCCCACCACTGAGTTATGCTCCCAGTCTAACCGCAAGCAAAGTGAATCTTTTTAGCAAGAAGTATTTAAAGCAACTTGCTCTTATACTTAATGATTGAAATCTGAATTTTTTTATTCTTTTATATATAAACTATTAAAGTTAATATAAAAGTGAGTATACACTGGAATCTGTGGAGACTGCACTGGGGACTCCGGCTCCCCTGTGTAAGCACTTCGGGGATGGTGCCGTGTGTGTGTCCTCAGTGGGGCCAGGCAGGTGGGGTGCTCCAAGCCTGAGTGTTTCTGGGTAGCCTTCACAGGGCTTAATGCACGGGACAGTGAAAGTGATGATGAGTCTCGCTTGCCTTTTCTCCTCGGCAGGTTATATAAGGAACACCGAGAAGCTGAACTACGGGAAAGAACGGCAGTATAAGCTGAGCATCACGGCCTATGACTGTGGGAAGAAGAGGGCCACCGAGGACGTTCTGGTGAAGATCAGCATCAAGCCCACCTGCACACCTGGGTGGCAAGGTGAGCAGCCCCTCCCCCGCTCGCACACTTTCCTGCAAACGTAGAACCGCAGGAGCCCTAAGTTTGAGTTTTCCTCCTTTCCTCCCACTCTGACCCATGGGTGACACAGGCTGGAGTAACAGGGTGGAGTACGAGCCCGGCACCGGCGCTCTGGCTGTCTTCCCCAACATCCACCTGGAGACGTGTGATGAGCCAGTGGCCTCGGTGCAAGCCATAGTGGAGCTGGAGACCAGCCACATCGGGAAAGGCTGCGACCGAGACACCTACTCTGAGAAGTCCCTCCACAGGCTCTGCGGTAAGAGGTCGGGCGTCCTGAGCTCTTGGTCTTCAGGGCAGTGGACCCTCACAGTGAGCCACCTGTGTGTCTCGGTGTGTGATGCTAACCTGACAGGCACTGACACACTGGCTGATTTTCAACCCAGCTCATAACCCCCTAAAGATCTACTCAGAGTGTTACATATATGTGCACTTCAAGAACTACTAATTTGAAGCTGTGCATGGTGGCACAGACCAGTAATCCCACCACTCAGGAGGCTGAGGCAGGAGAATTCTTGTGAGTTTGAGGCCAGTCTGTGCTGCAAAATGAGTTTAAGACCAGCCTGAGCTGCATAGTGAGACCCTGTCTCAAAAAGACAAAAGAAACACAAAAAACAAAAAACACTAATTTGAAGAAAGCAGCACACATTGCAGATGATCCAAATAGGGATGATCACCCATCTTCAGGAATAAATTGTCCCACCTGCTTGGGAGATGGAGGAAGGAGGATTGTTTGAGCCCAGGAGTTTGAGACCAGTTTGAGCAAATAGTGACACTCCACCTCAGAAGAAAAATAAAGTTGAGTGAGTTTAATATAAAATGAGATGTTCATTTAAAGACTGAAGAAAAAAATACAGATGATACAGTAGCCTTTGGTAAATATGAATCAGATTCAGCTAAGGATACCCACATCTCAGGCTTTTTTTTTTTTTTTTTTTTTGAGATAGGGTCTCACTATGCAGTTCAGGCTGGCCTTGAGCCCATTTTGTAACCCAAGCTGGTCTCAAACTCTTGGCATTCCTCCTGCCTCAGCCTCCCAAATGCTGGGATCACAGGTGTGCATCACCACACCCAACTGTAAGAAACAACTGACTAGAGGCTCAGCTGTCTTTGCACATCACAGACTGCATGTGGAGGAGCTGAGAGACAAGGACTGGGAAACTGACCAGAGAGCGAGCTGTTCTCTTTCCTGTCCACTGTGTGCCTTTCAGTTTATCTAGATGAAGAGAAGTGAGGTCCAGATGCCTCTAGTGGGAGGTGTTGAAGGCGGAGTGTTTACTTGGTCAGCCATAAAACACCAGGAGCCTCAGTGGCCCCTCGTGATCAACAGGGGCCGTTGTGTTTCAAGGGTACTTGGTAGCAGCTCTGCAGGGAGACATCTTCCAAACTGATCCACCTTCCTCCCCCTGGTAAAGCTCGTAGGCTTAGGAACCTGGTTCTCTTCTCTGCTCTTTTTTTGTTTGTTTGTTTTCCTTGAGACAGGGGCTTGCTAGGTAGTTCAGGCTGACCTCGAATTCACTGTGTAGCCCAAACTGGCCTTGAACTTGCAGAGCAATCTGCCTGGCTCAGCCTCTTGTGTGCTGGGCTTACAAGAGTGCTTCACCTTGCCTGGCTGACACTTGGTTTTATTAATAATTAAAACTTGCTGGGTGGCAACTGAGAGGAGGAGAAACCTCGTTGCTGTGCTGGTCACCCCAGTGCTGAGGACCTTGGACGTGTCATGCCACAACAATGTACTCGCATAAATGGGAATTGAGGGGGTAGGAACATTTTCTGTTTTAAAGTGTACATGTAAGTGAAATGTATAAAACTGATTTCCTTATAAGGCCACTATTTCTTTGGATAGTAAATGAATATTATCTCAGCAGAAGAGCTGAAAATTAGGAAGAATAGAGAGCATTCAGCATCTAAGTTCTGTCTACGTGCTGTATGCAAGTACTTCTGTGTGTGTTAATCTTCCCAGCAGGCCTCTAGAGTAGGTGGTGCTGACCTTACTGGTACAGAGAAGATAATTCAGGCTGAGGAGGTTAAGTAGTTTTTCCAGCAACATGTTTTAGAAGTCATAGAGCTGGAATTTGGGCCAAGGTCTTGTGTCTCTCAAAAGACCAGGCTGGTGCAGCCAAGTCACGCTGCTCCCAGGACTACAGAAGTCAAGGACCCTGCAACTGGGAGAGCTTGCAAAGTCCTTTTTGGGGAACAAATTCCAAAGAAAATTTAGGGGGTGGGAGTACAGCTCAGTGGTAGGGTATCTGCTTAGCATGTTTGAGTTTGATCCCCCAGCACCAAAAAGAAAATTTGATGTTGGCAATATGTAATGACGGTTGTCAAAATTTTTTCCTGTTCTTTGGCTTAGTAAATTCATTTCTAGGAGTTTATGCTGGACACATAAGCATGGGGACAGGGCCCATCAAGGAGAGGTTGATAAGGGGAGAGAGCCAGAGCAGCCCCAGTGCCCCCCAGGAGACCGGGCTAGTCCATCACGGCAGAGCTTTGCGCCTAGAGGGAGCGAGAGTGTGTGTACGTGTGTGTACAGCAGGACTCCATTTTGATAACAGATACCTTGTATGTGTATATATTCATAGAACCAGGAGGGTTTATCCCCAGATGGTGTGTATTTGGGTGGGATTACAAGAAAAACTTGATGTTTTTCATCCTCCTTTCTGTAAAGAGCCATCTATTATCATTTTTGTCTTTAAAAATCTTCTGTTTTTAAGAAAAGCTTGAATTAACACATTGTCTGACCGTGAGATAAGCATAAACCTCCAGCACACAGCTTTGAGCCACTCGTGAGCGCCAGGTTCTTCACAGAACTGACCTTCAGCGTTGTCGCTGTGGTTTCAGGGGCTGCTGCGGGCACTGCCGAGCTGCTTCCTTCCCCCAGCAGCTCCTTGAACTGGACCATCGGCCTCCCCACTGACAACGGCCATGACAGCGACCAGGTCTTTGAGTTCAATGGCACCCAGGCAGTGAGGATTCCTGATGGTGTCGTTTCCATCAACCCTAAGGAGCCCTTCACGATTTCCGTGTGGATGAGGCACGGACCTTTCGGCAGGAAGAAGGAGACAATTGTTTGCAGTTCGGACAAGACGGGTAGGTTGTGTTTCTATAGGTGGTGGTGTGGTCCTCAGGGCCAGCAGGCTGCAAGTGTTTGCGCCTTCTCTGATGCCTCTCGGGAAGCTGCGTGGTTCAGACATTGTCCGGATTTGGGGCTGGACGCTGTTTGTTCTCAAGACAGACGGTGCCCAGGGATTGTCAGCAGCTCTCCAGGGCCTGGCGCTTAGTAGAACCCAAGTATATTTGTACCTTGAGCTGCATAACCCAGCTGGAGGATGCATTTATGGAGATGAAATTGTGTCTTTGAAATCCATTAGGGAAGCAGCTCTTCCTTCTCCCTGGGATTCTAAGTTGGCCATTTACCTGTTGGGACTCGCTTTACAGATATGAACCGACATCATTACTCACTCTACATCCATGGGTGCAGGCTGATTTTCCTCCTCCGTCAGGATCCTTCCGAGGAGAAGAAATACAAACCTGCAGAATTCCACTGGAAGTTGAATCAGGTGAGCGAATGCACGACTCAGCAGCTCTGACTGTGTAGGAGAGATGAGCTAGGTACTGCGGCCCTGCCCAGGCTGGCCAGGTGTATGCTCGGTGTATGTTGCGGTTTCTGTGTCTGGGTAACGGGATAGCAAACTAAATCCACTCATCTCCTTTACTCTGAAAGCCTGAGGTTATTTTAGATATAATACATTGATGCAAACGTTATGTTTTTTAAATTTAAAAACTGTTGTCATTGAAATGAGCATTTGCCTAAAAATTGGGATTTAGTTCTTCATTCATTATTTAAGGCTGTGTCTGGATGGTGCAGGGAGCCCTGGGTGGACTCAGCAGTGTGCGGGTACCACAGGCTGTTCTGCGTTTTCAAGGAACCAGCAATCTTGACATCTTTCGGATGCCACATGAACCACTAGCTTGAGGGAGTTGCAGTTTTGATGTTCAGGTCACATGGCCTTGGGTCACATGGAGGATGGGTCACATTCCTCTTGATGTTATGTCTCTGCAAAGCTAACTTTCCAGCACTTGTTGTGATACAAAGCAAACATCCATGAAAAAATGAATGTTACTTCCGTTTTGTTTTTGTCTTTTTGAGATAGGGTCTCACTATGCAGTTTAGGCTGGCCTTGAGCTCACTTTATAGCCCAGGCTGGCTGGTCTCAAACTCTCAACGATCCTCCTGACTCAACCTCCCTACTGCTGGGATTACAAGCATGTGCCACCATGCCCAGCTCCTTTAAAATCAATACATGTTATAGGAAATGAAGAGTGCTATAAACTGAGAAAGGTTAGTCATTAACCTCAGAACAGGTCATCTTTTTCTTATCTCTTTTTGTGTGTGTGTGACAGAAGGTCCCAGTCACCCAGGTTGAGCTCAAACTTGTGATCCTCGTACCTCACCTTCTTGAATGCTGGGATTACCGGAGTGTGACATCATACTTGGTCTCATTTCTCCTCTTGATTGAGGGTTTGAGGCAATAAGGCAATTTTTGGCCTTGGTTTCTTTTGGCTTTGGAGTTAGTGAACAAAAGTTGACATTGTTAAACCAGGAGTGGTGGCGCACATCTGTAATCCCTCCACTCAAGAGGTTGAGGCAGGAGGATCGCTGTGAATTTTAGGCCAGCCTGGCTACACAAGCAAGTTCGGCCCTATTTAGTGAGACCTTATCTCAAAAAACAAAACAAAACAAAAAAAGTAACATTGTTAGATGTGTCTGAGTTTGCTAAAATAGGCTGGGGATATAGCTCAGCGGTACAAATACCTGCCTGGCAAACTCAAGGTCCTGAGTTTGATTCCCAGTACCCTCCCCCCAAAAAAAGGGAATAAATGAGTTTGCTAAAATACAACATTGGCTAAAGTAGTTACAAGATGTATAAAAATGTGAGAGCCCAAAGGAGAAAGGGAAAAGAGCACATGATGGTAGGAAGATGAGTTGGTTTTTTTTTTTTAATCTCTTTCTTGGATGTAGTGATTTTAAGACCAGCCTTGGGCTACATGCCATCACCCCTTATCAAAAACAAACAAATAAACAAACATAAAAGACTGGATTTTTGAATTTGGGGGGTCTGAATTTTTTCAATTCTTTATGTGTTCTAGTTAGAAGTCATTTGTCTGAGGGACAGTTACCTAAAATGTTTTCCTACTCTGTGGGTTGTCTTTTTACTCTATTGGTGATTTCTTTTGAAGTACAAAATCTGAGATGAATATACACTTCTCAGATGAAGAAATACAAATGGCAAATAAATACATGAAAAAATGTTGAACATCATTGGCCATTCAAGAGATGCAAATTAAAGCAACACTGAGGTTCCATCTCACTCCAGAAAGAATGGCTACCATCAAGAAATCAACTAACAACAAACGCTGGTGGGGCTGTGGGGAAAAAGGAGCCCTTCTTCGCTGCTGGTGGCAGTGTAGACTGGTGCAACCACTGTGGAAATCACTCTGGAGATTCTTCAAAAATTTAGGATTAGAGGTCCCATTTAACCCAGCTATTCTATTTTCCCAGAAGAATTAAAAACGTCATACTGCAGTGATATATGTGCACTCATGTTTGTAGCAGCACAATTTGTCATAGCAAAATTTTGGAAACAACCCAAATGCCCATCAACTGAGGAATGGATAAAAAAGATGTATTTTTTATACAATGGAGTATTACTCAGCTATAAAGAAAGATAGACTCTAGACTTTTATAGGTAAATGGATGCAACTAGAGACCATACTAATAAGTGAAATAAATCAGGTTCATGTGTAAACATCGTATTGCCTCCCTAGTATAAGAGCCTGAAAGAGTGAATAAAACTGAAAGGTACAGTAGACATTGTGAAAGGGAAAGAAACTGCTTAATAGGAAAGAACAACTGGGATGAGGGAAAGAAGAAAAGAAGGAAGGGAAATACACACACACACACACACACACAAAGATAGCTAAAGTAATTGTACTACTAATATCTGTTGGTTTATTGAAAGGAACAGTTAATGTTTAATTGTTCGATCAAATCAATCTTGCATGCTTATACCTGGTAATCTGAGCAACTACTTTGAAGATAATAAGTACTACAACAACCATTGTTGATTTCCTATCATCTTGTTTTCAAATTTTGTATTGTTTTTATAGTTTTTGTGTTTTTGTTCTTTTTAAAATAAAAAAACATAAAGGATAAGTCTGGAAAAAATGTTTGCCACATAGACACTTTAAATCTGCTCTGTTGTGGTGACCAGAGTCTGTGCTACATAGCTTCTGCTGACTGCATATTTTAAACAATTTTATGATGGAAATTTTTTCACATGTAGATAGATAGATTGGTGTAAAGAACAACCTGTGTGAGGGCTGGGGATGTAGCTCATCAGCACAGCGCCTACCTGGCAAGTGCAAGGTCGTGAGTTCAATCCCTGGTACTAAAAAAAAAAAAAAAAAAAAACCAAACAATCCCTGTGCATCTTTCATCCAGCTTTAGCATTGACTAACTCTTGGACAATTTATTTCATCATTTATTCCAATTCTTTCGTTTATTTGTTTTGTTTCTCCCTATGTAATACAGGCTGGCCTTGAACTCAATGTGTAACCCAGGCTGGTTTTGAACTCATGGTGATCTCCCTGCCCTGGCTCCTGAGTGCCAGGATTACAGGTGTACATCACCATGCCTGGCACTATCCTCATTCTTTATCGATAGTTTTTGTTGCCACCCCCCAAAAACTGACTCAGTTTTCAAGAGATCTGGGATAGAGCATTTTATTCTCTGGAGACAGGCATCTTTCATTATTATGTTTCTCTAACAGAGAGCATAGTCACCATAGTTTTGCACATCTTATGAAGTGTGCAGGAACCAGGGTATTCGTCTGTGAATAAAGTGTGTGCTTGGCATGCAGGAAGACCTTGGTTCAGTCTCCAGCACCAACAGAATTTAAAAAAATAAAAATAATTTCTCATATTCTCAAATGTCCAGTAAATGTTTAGATTTCAAATTGCATCATAAGTGTTTTTGTTTCTATAGTTCATTGAACTAGAAAGCAAATGCATTGCACTTGGTTGATCCACATCCATGATGTCTGTTCCCGGCAGAAAAGTTAAATTTGCTGTGCCACCTGAGCTGTATGTTATTTTGTTTATATGTCTCTACTTATTTCTTGTTGCTGGGGATTGAACTGAGGGCTTGTGCATACCAAGCATATACTTTACCACTGAGCCACACCTCCAGGCCCAAGGATTTATATTTAAATCATCAGCTGGAGAAAGAGCATCCGTGTCCTGTCGCAGTTCTCCTTCTGAGATTGAGGGTGCTTTGGGCCTTGATCCAGATGAGGAACACAAGCAACGGTCCCCTGGCAGCTTCACCCAGCTGTTGCAAGTAGGAGGAGTGTGTCACAGGCAGACAGATTCTGGCAGCTGACTGTTTGGGGCCCTGTCCTGGGATGCGTGTCACCTGGCCCAAAGTGCCCTGCAGGTGAGGGTGTGGCTTTGTCCTTTCTTGGTGAGATGTGTTTGCAGAACACTGTGTTGTGAGATTTTGAGAAAGTCCTTTTCTTTATAGGAAGAGAGATAATTACTTGGGTAACTTGTTTTCCGGATCCTGTTGTCTCGCTCTCATGTGTTCCGGGGGTGGGGCAGGCTGACATGTCGTGGTTCCTGTGCCTTGGGTAGGTCTGCGACGAGGAATGGCACCACTTTGTCCTCAACGTGGAGCTCCCAAGTGTGACTCTGTATGTGGATGGCGTTTCCCACGAGCCCTTCTCTGTGACTGAGGATTACCCGCTTCATCCGTCCAAGCTAGACACCCAGCTCGTGGTTGGGGCTTGCTGGCAAGGTAACAACACTGTCCCTGGCTCCGGGTGGCAGGAACCAGTGCCTCTCTACCATATGGTGGGAACAGGCTCTTAGCAGTGTACATCCTGTACTTTATCTATTCTTCTTTTTCGGTGACGCTGCTGATGCTGTAGCCCGATCTCTGGGTGCCTGGGAAGGTGTGTTCCATCGTCCTTCCTGTGAACCTGGCAGGGAGCAGCGTGTGGTGCAAGCATAATGGAGTGGGGAGAGGTCTGGCTTATAAATGAATTCGTGTGGACAAAAGGCAGCAGTCAGCAGTGAGGCATGAAGATATGAAGGACTTAAAAGTACCTGCATGTGAAGGGTTCTCTGGGATTTAGTGTTTGGCAAGCTGGTAGGAGCCTATAAGGGAACGGTCAGCTTACGCTCCAACTGCAGAGGATTTGGTGGAAATCTCCTCCAAAGACTGAGGCTGCGGTGTGGTCAGCATCGCCGAGTGACAGTCTGACTCACGCATGCGTTCTGAGTGGCAGCCTATGCCCACACTGCACACGCTATCTCAGGGTCCTCGCAGTGCTGTTTTAGAGCTGTAGGCATGGGCTCAGAGAATACTCGAGTCCAGGTTAGCCAGGTGACACATCCAAGCTGGGATTTGCCGGGGAAAGCCATGCGCTTGGCTTGAACTCTTAGCTGCCAGACCAGGAGTGTGGACATGTCCTGTGTGGGGACCCCGTGCTGGCCGCTTCATGTGTGACACTCGGGACACAGGCGCCCGTGAAACCTGGAAGCAGCCGTCCACACGCTCAAGGAGCTGCACTGGGAGCAAGCCGTGCCCGCGGTGCTCCGCTTGCCGGAGGACGGCTGTAAGGGCAGGGCCTGTGACGGCCGTAACGCCAGAGTGGCGGAGGCCTGCGTGACTGTGTGGTGGGATAGGCAAGTGCCGGTGAGTTCTGTTGGTGACAGGAATCACAGTTACCCTAACCCTGCTATGGTGGGTAACCTGTTTAACCAAAGGAAAGGCTAAATTTTGGGAATTAGTGGGAATTAGCACTCATGTTTCACACCCAAGTTGATGGGTTCCCTCAGTCTAGTCTACCCTGGAGGTTCTTGAACCCTACTGTGACCCTTGTGCTCGGCTCTGTCTTGGGTCATTTCAAGGTGTCACCATCACTACACACGCTTGCTAATCACAGACAGTACATTTTGTCCCTGTGGAAACATGGTACCTTCACGTGGCATAGAAATTTATGAAAGAGCTCAGTTCCCAAGACAAATGTTCTCATTTTAAGTGAATTTGAATTTTACAATTTTCCTGGAGATTCTTTCATATGCAAAGAAATAGGACAGTATATTGGGATGAACGTCTCTAGTGGATGTCATATTTAATGTAGTCACAGTTATCAAGAGAAAGTGGAATATGAGACCAAGGAATGAGAATGAAGTTTAAAGGATACAGGAATTTCAATTCAAATGTGCTTCCTAGATTAAACAGTCATTTCTTTTTTTTTTTTCCCGGTACCGGGAATCGAACGCATGACCTTGCACTTGCCAGGCAGGCGCTGTGCCACTGAGCTAAATCCCCAGCCCCTAAACAGTCATTTCTGAATTTTACATACACATATGTTTGGGGGGTGACAAGGTCTCACTCTGTAGTCCAGGCTGGCCTCAGTCTCCCGAGTGCTGGGATTGCAGGTGTGTGGTATCATGCCCAGTCCCTGAAAAATATTTTTAAAATTAAAATTAAAATACAGTGTAGCCAGACGTGGTGGCGCACGTCTGTAATCCCAGCACTTGAGAGACTGAGGCAAGAGGATCATTGCAAGTTTCAGAGCAGCCTGGGCTACAAAGTGAGCTCAAGGGCAGCCTGAACTGCATAGCGAGCCCCTGTCTCAAACAAACAAACAAACGAACAACAAAACAGTGTAAACCTAAATGAGACTTTACATCCTGGGACCTCTATTACTGTGGTTAAAGTAAACCACTGTGTCCCCACTGTGCCTCCTTGGTTTCTGCTCATGTCACAATCTCCGTGCTGTCTAGTAGCCATTAGTTCTCATCTTCTCTCGTTACTTTTTGCCTTGGCTGTCTCGGCACCCTCAGCCAGGAAAGTTTGCCTGAATTCCCAAATCAAATAGCACAGAATCTTTACCGTTTGGTGCTCAAGGAGGAGCTCCCTTTTCCTTTCAGTTCGTGCCGCTTCTCCACAGGAGGTGGCGGCGGCAGCTGAGCCGGTGCAGACCACATCATCTGTGGACACAGTTATGTCCCTGTGCTGCGCTGTGCTGCACTGGAGCTTCCTGCAGACCACAGGCCAGGCTGGGCAGCAGCTGACAGGCTGGCACTGGCTGCCATCCAGTGCTGCCATCCAGCTGGCTGACCCCCAGGGCGGTGGGATGCACTGCTCCGAGCCCTGATTGCTCTGCAGCGCTGGCAGCTCTGGTGGGCCCGCCGCGGGCTGTGTTGTGGGTGAGCTCCCTAGTGTCACACATCCCTTCCTGCTCGTGAAAGTACTTTTGCAAAGCTTCTTGTCTCTGTCACGTGAAGCCCAGATGCAAACCAGTTTTTATCTTCCCAAAAGTACAGACTCAAATGTGACCCCGAGCAGGCTCGGGGCCGTGTGCGCTGTGGACCCGGAAGTCAGGCGGCATGGGCCCAGTTGGTATCTCTGTCTGGGCCTCGCCACTGTCAGTGCTGTGCTGCTGGATTGTCTGCTGCCAGCCCGGCTGAGGGTGTCGGTATTCAGCCTTCTGCTCTTACTCAGCTGTTTGAGTCTAATTTGTATTCGACGAGGAGGGTGTGGGAAGATGGAACAAAAATAAGAAAGATAGATAAAACAAAAATACAAAAGCATGAGGTGTCGATCTCATCTGGGAAAAAGTGATCAAGCTTGCTTGCCATGGAATCTGTGCTGTCAAGGGACAAGAAAAGAATTTTCTCTTTGGGTTTAGATTTGGTTGCTTCACAACTGATTTTCACGTCCAATTTGACGAGCCTAACCTCTCGGTCCTTTTCTATTGTCTTTGTCTTGCTTTTCCGCAGAGTATTCAGGAGTTGAAAGTGACAATGACACTGAGCCTGTGACTGTGGCCTCCGCAGGTTGCTGGATTTTCCTCCTACAGTTGACTATTGTGTTTCATGTAACGATGAGACATTGGTTCATTCCACATGTGGCATGACGTGCCGAGCTGCATCTGGCCCCCACTTCCTTCTGGCTGCTTCTCTGCATTGCCCGCCATTGCCTCAGGGGTTCCCTTTCTGCCCATGCTGCCCCGCTGACATTGAAGGCAGGGACTCATCCAGACAGTGCTCCCGGGGGGTTATCCTTCCCCACCCAGTCCTGCCGGTCCTACTGCACTGGCTTCCTGCAGCATCTCCCAGGCCGGCTTGGGGGCCACCTCATGGTGTTCCTGGGCTGAGCTGCGGGACAGGAAATGACCCTTTTCTAGGTTTCCTGTCCTGATTGATACTGAATTCTGTTGTTTCTCAGCAGTCTTGATCTTTGGCAGTGCCTTGCCATGGCCATGGCCCTGATAGAATGGGACGCATCGCAGGAGCTGTCTCTTTTCCCACATCAGTGCAGGGCTGGGCTGCATTTGTGACCCCTCGGTGTAGTCTCTCGAGGGCCGTGTTCTGGGCCTTACTTTCCCTCAGCAGCTCCTCCCCTCCCCGTTACCCTTGGAAGTAGAGACATGAGTCTTGACCAAACAGCAGCTCCCCCTAGAAGGACGTCTCTGTCCCCTCTGCCATGCTTGTGTGGCTTCGTCCCCAAGCATGTGTTTGCAGGGTTAGTGCAGCCGTAGCATGCCCAGCTGCCCATAGGCAGTGAGGAGCTGGCCTTGGTAGGCAGCGTTGCTGTGTGATGAGGCCCAGGCGGGGTGTGTGGGGACTCTTCACGGGACTTCTCGGCAGTGGGTGAGGGACCCCGGCTCCTCCCTTCTCCAGGCCATGTGCATGATCATTGCCCACTTAATGTCTTCATTGCGTTCCATGTAGATTGCAAGGCTAACAGGATTTGGTCTGAACTAACCCGCATGCCCATCCATCCAGCTGCACCACCGGTAACACTGCACTGAGAAATGACTCGGGCACGTCTGGGCTGCTGCACACTTCATTTCTTGTGTCTCCCCTCTTCTAAAGGTGGCGACCTGCACATGACCCAGTTTTTCCGAGGGAACCTGGCTGGCCTAACAGTCCGCTCGGGGAAACTCGCAGACAAGAAGGTGATCGACTGTCTGTACACCTGCAAAGAGGGGCTGGACCTGCAGGTCCCCGAGGAGAGCAGGGGTGTGCAGGTAATTTGAACATCCGTGTGTGCTGGGCTTGGGCGCCTGGACCGCAAACAGGGAGGTTAGATAGGGGTGGATGACATTAGCCCCTGAAATGTTACATGTCATGTAAGAGAGGATCTCATTCACTGCAGCTACAGTAGCTCTTCTTAGCCAGGCGTGGTGGTACCCTCCTGTAATCCGAACACTCTGGGAGGCTGAGGCGGGAGGATTGCTGTGAATCCAAGGCCAACCTGGGCCACATGGCGAGACCCTGTCTCAAAAAACAGAACAAAGAAAACAAAACAAAATCCTGACTCTGTGTGCTGAAGCCTCAGTGGCTTCAGCACCTCACAGCAAGAGCCTTGTCCCCTCCCCTCCTGTCCCCGGGTTGCAGATCCGAGCAAGCCCCAGCCAGTCAGTGTTGACCTTGGAGGGCGACGACATTGGGGAGCTCGACAAGGCCATGCAGCACCTGTCCTACCTGAACTCGAGGCAGTTCCCCACGCCAGGCATCCGGAGACTCAGGATCACCAGCACGGTCAAGTACGTCCTGATTTTTAGCAGCCAGCTTCTTTCCTCCCACAGAAAGAGATGTGTGTGTTTGGGTCTGAAAGACACCCTCGTCTCCCTCTGTAAGGACAGGCAAAGGGGAGCATGCGCCCTGGTAATGTCTGTCAGGGAGAGCGCACTCTGTGGGGCCCGCTGCAACCTGTCCCCTCCCGGTGCTGTGGAGCGCCCCCACGTGAGCCCGACACGGCTCTCACAGCCCACCTCCCCTCCCCTCGCTCCCGCTCCTTCAGGTGCTTTAACGAGGCCACCGCCTGCATCGAGGTCCCCACCGTCGAGGGCTACGTGATGGTTTTGCAGCCTGAAGAGCCCAAGATCAGCCTGAGCGGCATCCACCATTTTGCCCGAGCGGCCTCTGAGTTTGAGAGCTCCGAAGGGGTCTTCCTGTTCCCCGAGCTTCGGATCATCAGCACCATCACGAGGGAGGTGGAGCCCGAGGGGGATGGGCCTGAGGACCCCACAGGTAACAGCCGCTCAGAAGAGCTGTCCCTGCAGCTCCACTGGAGCCCCCTGGCCACCACCTAGGTCCCAGCCCCCTTTGCCCGGGGGGTTTGGGAGATGAATGTTGCATCTTGTGTGCGTGGTGCTTCTGGAGCCTCCCGTTGGGCTGACACCACTGTGATCTCTGGACACCCGTGGTCTGCGGTGCTCTCACCTTTTTCTGGCTGACTTCGGGCTCTGAGGTCAGCCATAGGAGGACAGTGTTCACCCCACTGCCCCGAGACTCAGTGCGTCTTTCTGGGCATTCATGTGCTATTCAGTGCTGGGAGAGAACCCAGGGCCACATTCTGCAAACACAGCTCTCGAAGCTAATACTTTGTCACTATGGTCCTTAGAGGGCTTCCTAAGCTGTGCACACACCAGCCAGCCAGGGGGGTGACAGCCTCGCCAACCCCATCCTCACCATCTCTGTGGCTCCTACAGTCCAAGAGTCCCTGGTATCCGAGGAGGTCGTGCATGACCTGGACACCTGCGAGGTCACAGTGGAGGGAGAGGAGCTGAACCCGGAGCAGGAGAGCCTAGAGGTGGATGCAGGCCGGCTGCAGCAGAAGGGCATCGAAGTGAGCGGCTCGGACCTGGGCGTGGTCCTCAGAGGTGAGAGAGGCTGAAGCTCCTGCCCTGCCTGCCGCCTCCTGCCACCCGGGACCTTGGGCCGAGTCAGTGCTGCTGCATGCCTGCGCCCTCGGTGGAATGGTCAGGCACCTGGGCTCTGCCTTAATGCAGGGTGCGGCTGGGTGTGTGGGCTCATGCCCTGGAGGGAAAGTGCCTGCGTGCTGCTTGTACGGTCCCCAGTTGGAAAGGCACTGCGGGGACCCGTGGCTCAGCCCCCCACTGCCTGACTTCAGCCACTCTCCTTGAACTCTGTAGGCGTCAATACCATGGCCAGCTATGAGGAGGTGTTGCACCTCCTGCGCTATCGGAACTGGCACACCAGCTCCCTGCTTGACCGGAAGTTCAAGCTCATCTGCTCCGAGCTGAATGGCCGCTACCTGAGCAACGAGTTTAAGGTGGAGGTGAGTTCAGGGCTCCTACCCAGAAGGGCCAGCAGTAATTGAACATCTTCACTCGTTTTTTTTTCAATACTGGAGATTGAACTCAGGGTCTTTGCGCTGAGCTCCGCCTCTGAGCCCTTCTTAATTTTGAGACAAGGTTTCCCTAAGTTGCTCAGACTGGGAATGAATTTGTGATCCTCCCAACTCAGCCTCCCAGAGTGCTGGGAGTACAGGTGCATACTTCCATGCCTGAGACTAAGGACCTTGACTCTTCACCCTAAAGTTTTCAAAGCCCGGTGTTTGGTGCATTATGGTGCATTCAGGCTCATTCCGAGGGTGGCGCGTGACCCACCCTGGCCTTTCCTATGGACTGCACGTGGGCCGGCTGCAGGGACTGGTCCACATGGTGCGGCAGAGCCAGAGCCTAAGGCGCCTTGGAGCGAGGTGCTGAGGAACAGGTGCGGGGAGGCAGTGGGAGGCATGCAGGATGCTGTTGGAAGCACCGCCCAGGGACCCAGAGGGCCCTGCAGCTGTACCGGGTCACCGGGCCACACGGAGGAAATGGAGACCAGGGGCCAGCGCTGCGGGCTGTTGCCGTCACTCTCAGGCCACAGCGCCCGAGAGCAGCGGCCTGTCCTGCTCTGAGGCCTCCTGCAGCCCCCACTGCAGCTCCTCCGGCACTCGGGGCTCCGTGGTCTGAAGAAAGGGACCCGCGGTTCCCCTTCCTGTTCATCGTCCCCACGTGACCTTGGGCGGCAGCCCCAGCCTCGCAGTGCTGGGACGAGCATTTTCTGCTGCCGAAGAGTCACTGCCTAGGGAGGAAACGGTGTGACGATGTGGGCTGCCTGCGTGGCAAGGCTGGGCGAAGGGAATGTGGTCACCCTATGCGGGTGAGGCCGGCAGTGGGCTTCCGCTCTGGTGTGGACGGAGACTCATACAAACACACTCGAAGTGAATTACTAGAAAGGCAGCTTGTGTCTTGGGTGTGTGACAGATCAGGTTGCTGCAGCAGCTTCTAAGTGCCCTGGATTTTCCTCTGGTTGCAGAAGTTAGCACTGTTTGCTCCTGGCCTGGCCCAGGGCCACTCCGATGACATGTGTAGGACATTCGAGGGACGTGGGTTTCCATCAACCCCTCCCCTCTCTCTCTCTCCCTCTGTCCCTCTGACCCCCACCCCCTTTCCATCCCTGCTGCTGTCTGCTGCAGGTGAATGTGATCCACACGGCCAACCCCGTGGAACACGCCAACCACATGGCCGCCCAGCCACAGTTTGTTCACCCTGAGCATCGCTCCTTTGTGGACCTGTCGGGTCACAACCTGGCCAATCCTCACCCGTTCGCAGGTAGGCCGGCGTGGGAAGCTGTGGGACAGAAATGCGGTAGCGTCGAGCAGGGTCTGGGTGGACTCACGGCTGGCTCGTTGTGTCCCTGTTCCTCTGTCCCCCATGAGGAGATGAAAGCTCACACAGCCACCGAGCAGGCAGGAGCGTCCCCGACTCGACCCCTCAGCAGTCCTGTCTCTGGGTCTGGCGGCGCGCCTGGCCAGCCTGTCCTCACCTAGCGCCGCTGAGGAGGTGTCTCCTTCCGGTCTCTCGGCAGTTGTGCCCAGCACCGCCACTGTGGTGATTGTGGTGTGCGTCAGCTTCCTGGTGTTCATGATCATCTTGGGCGTGTTCCGGATCCGGGCTGCACATCAGCGCACAATGCGGGACCAGGACACGGGGAAGGAGAACGAGATGGACTGGGACGACTCGGCCTTGACCATTACAGTGAACCCCATGGAGGTAGGAGTGGCTGGCGCCGGGCTTGTGAGCAGCGCAGCAGCCCTGTGAGTTAAGGGTCCTCCTTCAGACAGTAAACTGAGGCTCAGGGAGGCCTTGTTGGAGGCCGGACCCTGGGAAGGGTGGGACGCATTTGCATGGGCCCTGTTCTCTTTCCCCCAGGGGACTGTGGCAGGGAACCAGCTGTCAGGGCCACGTGGGCGAGGTCATGGCCTGGAGTGTGCAGTGCAGGCTGTCCCTGGGAGGGCCCCCTTGGGGGTGTTTCCCTCCCCTGGTGGCTGGGATGGGAGACTGGGCTGTGGGGCCACGAGCTGGACTCAGCCACCCTCCCTCTGACAGACATATGAGGACCAGCACAGCAGCGAGGAGGAGGAGGAGGAAGAGGAGGAAGAAGAGAGCGAGGATGGGGAGGAGGAAGAGGACGTCACCAGCGCCGAGTCGGAGAGCAGCGAGGAGGAGGAGGGCGGCCTGGGCGACGGCCAGAACGCCACCCGGCAGCAGCAGCTGGAGTGGGACGATTCCACACTCAGCTACTGACCCCACCGCGCCCCAACCCCGAGACTCTGCCCCCAGCCCCGCGGGTCCGCGATGTACAAAGTCCTTGGCCAGCAGGTCTGCAGACCCCGCCCCGCTCGTGCTTCGTGTTAGGACCGTAGCTCTGCCCTCGTCCGCCCGCGTCTGCCCGCTGCTGCTCAGTGTCCAGAGCCACAAGTCTTCCTGCTGCTCCCGCCCGCCGGCAGGGCCCCGCGGGGCCAGGGCCAGGGCCACGTGTGTCCGCGTCCGCTGCCGGCCCGAGGGCTCTGGCTCCCGCACCTCCAGAAACGCTGCAATGACTGGACTTGGTGACAAGGGGGGAAAATCGCTCACTTCCACCTGGTAATCAGTTTTTTTTTTTAAAGTTTTTATTTTTTCCAAACTAGTGCATGTATAAAGTGGCAGAATGGGGGTTAACATGTAGATGGTCAATGACTTTTTAATATTTTGTAAATAAATCGGGATTCTCTGTGTCCTTCGTGCTAGTGTAGTCCAGGACTGGAATGTAAGGGACGCTGAGCACACCGGGCGTGGGGTCCTGGCTGCTGCTCAGGGGACCCGACCCGGGACCCTCCCTGGAGGCGGGGATGGCCAGGCCTTTGCTGTGGAGTTCTGGCCTTGGGGTTGCGGCTCGGCCTCTCCCTGCCGGACTCAGCGGCGCAGCTGTGCCCTTCGTGCTGAGCAGACGTTGTTTCCCGGCCAGTCGTGCATGTAAACCGCAGAGGCCACAGCTGCCGTACACAACGGCGCCACTTGGTTTGGAGACGGCCACGGGCCCGAGGGAGCCGCGCGCAGTGTCCCCAAACCACCTGTACCCGCCCTCCTCCCGCCCCGCCCTCGCCTCTGCCCCTGGAGTCCTCCTGGACGCCTTCTGTGACCTCGCTGCTGCTGGTGGGGAGGACAGGATGCCGTGCCAGCCATGTGGCCGCCCCGCCATGTCCTGCCCCCGCAGCTGTGTGACCAGTGGGTGGACGTCCCGCAGAAGCCCTTCTGTGTCTGCAGTGCCCGGTGTCCTTCAGAAGTGTATATTGGCACTAGGTCGGAAAGTGTGTGCACTACAATAAAGTTCTGGTCTAACTCTGCTCAGAGTGGGGTCTGTTTCCTCTTTGGCATTAACCCTGCGTGCTTCTTTTTGAGCCAAGAACATAGGAACATAAAAAGGCTTTTATTTCTTTCCTCCTTCCTTCACTTCTCGCATCAAGGTTACACAGATTTAGCCCACGTCAGTGGTACTGAACTTGCCTTCCCCAGACAGAAACATGAAATGACTTAAAAAAAATAGAAACTATTTCTTCTTGCCAGGCACAGACTGTACACCCAAACCGCAAGTTGCCGAGGGTGTGCAGAACCTGTGGCCCATGCCGGGGAGCACCCAGACTGGTTTCAATAAATAACACGACATACACATGTACACACGGCTTCCCCCCCGCAGGCAGCCAGAGCGGGGTCACCCATCTTGCAGACCAGGCCGGGGCTCCATGGTGGCATCAATTGCTCAAGATGGAGACCTGGGCACTGGCCCTTGAAGCCAGGCACCTGGGCTGCTGAGCCTTGGGAGGCTGCTGGGGGCTCGGCCATGAGCAGCCAGGTCAGGGTGGCCACGGGAGGTCTGCTGTTTGGCTTTTTTGGTTGCAGTGTGGAGGGTGGAGCCCAGGGCCTCACGCATGCTGAGAAGCACATGCCCTGCCGCTGAGCTCTGTCCCTGGCTGCGTGGGCTTCCAGAAGCACGGGCTCCTGGGCCTCCAGCTGCAGTGGTCTCAGAAGGCTGGGAGGGCCCGGGCCTGCACTGCCCACCCTGCTGCCTGGGAGGCCTAAGGCTATGCCCAGACCATTCCCAAGTAAGGCTGTGGGGAAGGTGCTGCCTTGCTGCTCCTGGGCACTCCTGGGACTCGGCAACCTTCCAGCAGGGAGCACTCTGGGTGAGGTCAGGTCCTGCCCCTTCATTCCACACGGCCAGGAGGGGGCTCACACATCACTGCACCGAGGATGCCACCCGTCCCTTTCCCTGGGGTGGCGACCAGGATAACCTTATCAGCTCCATCTTAGCACGGCCTGAGGACCAAGCTGTGTGGTCTTGGTGGGGACCGGGTGCTTGTTCCCAGCCCTACAGGTTCATGAAGTGGTCTGGCTATTTTCTTACCCGAAAGTGAAAGAGGTAAGGGCCTCCTCGTACCGAGAGTCACGTCAGCAGTGACAAGCAAGTGTCCCTGAGTGTAGAGGGTACCTGGCTTCCTCGGGAGCAGCCCAGGACTCAGTGGAGGAGAGGCGGGTGGGCCACCCAGAGCGGCAGGCGAGCCCAGTCCTGTCTCGAAAGGAGCTACCAGGTGACAGCTAGGCACCAAGCCCCAGGCAAGCAGAAGCCCAGGGAGAAGATGCCCCGCCCCGGGAGAGTCCGCTGGGCCAGCCCTGCAGCCGGAAGACTTGAGGTGACCGCTAGCTGGGAGCCCGGAGCCTGGCTCCGCGCCCCTTTCCCACATAGGGTCATGTCCATTTATGGCTGTTTTGCTCCTTAAACATTTCGGCGGCAAATAAATAACCAGTGTAAACAAAAGGCAATTGTGTGGTTCCTTCCCGAGAGGTGCAGTTCAGGCTCTTAGGCCGGTTGAAGAGGCCTGAGGGCGCCTGGTCCCCAGGACCACGGTTTGCCTCTCAGGCCGAGCGCCAGGAGACCAGCTGTGGCTGGACGCAGCCGCTACTGCCTGTTATCTTTGGACACGTTGTGCGCCAGCCAGTTCACCTTGGTCTTCCAGCTCTCCCTGAGGGCCTCGTTGAACTTCACCCGGAAGTGCTTCAGCGCCTCTTCCTCCGTTTTCCCCAGCGCCAGGGAGTCCTGGGACAGGGTCACACAGCAACCTCACCACTTGGGGCCCCACCCCACCCCATCGTGTGGCCCCTTCTTGTCCCCTGCCGGTGTGCAGGGAGTTAGCTGAGGCCCCACAGCTCCCTTAAGAAAGTGCGTTCCTCTGATCCCAAACTCAGCCAGGTCCCCTGGCCCACTGCAGGTCCAGGTGCCTGTGCAGGTGCCAGGCGGCCCTGCCCCGACGGGGAGGAGGGCCAGGGGGCACAGCAGCCCCCAGCAGTCTCAGAGACAACACGGGAAGGGCTGTGGCCGTGAGGACCTGCGGGGACCCATGGGATGACAAAGGGTCACTCAGCACCTGCTCCCCTGCTCCAAGCAGGCTTAAACCCGGGGAGCTCAGATGCTCTGGCCGTTTCCCACCACTCCCCACACTGGGCTCCCGGGGGGCATGAGGCTGGTGGGTGCCCCGGAGGTCCCCATACCACTGGGACCTCCCGCCTGGCTCGGCCGCCCTGCGCACCTTGAGGTACTGGATATCTTTGGAGCAGCTGAGCTCGGGCAGGCCCGCCGCCCGCATCAGTGCAAAGAGGTGGAGGAAGAGGAGGCCGTGGCGCCGCAGGATGGTGTAGGCTCGTTCGCAGTAGCCCCGGAACCTGCGGGAGAGGAGGCCAGGCGGGTGAGGCCCGGGGTCTCCAGCCCAAGGCGGCGTCCCTGTAACGGCGTCCAGGCAGCCCCGCGTTCCCGCCTCCCATGAACCTCCTCGGCCGCGGCCGCAGGAGCTGGGAGGCTCTGTCCCCGCCCGGCCGCCGCCCAGCCTCACCGCTCAAACTTCTCGCTGTTATTGGTCTTCCCCTGCTGAATCACGTGGACGAAATCGTAGGTGAGGATGAACGGGACCCGCTCACGGTTGATTCCAAACTTGGTCTTGAAGTTTCCCAGGAAGTGGCCGAAATCAATGTGGAACAGCTGAGGGGAGGAAGGGCAGAGCCTGAGACGGTGTCAGTCCCTGGGGAGAGGGCAAGCCCCAGGGCAGGCGGACGCTTGGGAAGCTGTGTGCCCGGGGCCGGGGCCGGCCGCCCGCACGCCTCTACCTGCCCGCTCTCGCGGATCATGATGTTGTCGCTGTGCCGGTCGCCGATGCCCAGCACGTAGGTGGCCACGCAGTAGCCCGCACAGGACAGGGTGAACTCCTCGATGGCTCGGTCCAGGGCGTCCCTGCGGCGTTGGGGGGATTGAAAGCCACGTCGCTGTGCAGCAGCTTCTTCCTCAAGCTGGACTGTTGCCCTGGCCGGGACCATGAAGGACGCTGCTCCCGAGCTGAGGCCGAGGGCACCTCGAAGGTCCTGGGTCGCTCAGCACCACCCCGGCCCCAGCCTGACCCGCTGACCGAGGTGTGGCCTCGTGGGGACAGCCGCTACCAAGGCCCCAGCACGAGACGGGCCATCTCAGACAAAGGCCCGGACGGCAGCAGCTGCACAGCCAGTGCCAAGGCCAGCAGAGACGCCCGGTGCAGCCAGTGACGGGGGTGGTGGTTTTAAAAAGCCCTGAGCTTGAGGAGCATGAACAGCTCCACGGGAGACCTACCCCATCCCACGGGGTGACTTCGGCTGATCAGGGAGACCATCCCTGACTGTCCCCTCAGCCTTGACTCTAAGGGGCCAGCCCCCGCGTCACGCCTCTCGGGCAGGAGCCCTACCCGGGGTTCTTGGACTTGAGCCAGTTGAGCAGGGCGTCCTTGTTGAAGGCGGCCGTGGCTGCCATGTTGCTCTTGTTCAGCTGGATGTTGGCGATGGTGTCCGAGTGCAGCACCACCTCGATGAGGCCCGTGCGGTCCCCGGTGGGGAGGCAGCCATAGGGGGTCATCCTAGGCAAGTGGGCGAGGGGCAGGAACATGCCAGGGTCAAGGGCTGTCCCTGGGGCTGCTGGACCCCCAGGAGCTTGAGGCACCCAGAAAAGTGCCCGGGGATGGTGGGGGGCCGAGGGCTCCCCGATGCAGCGCGCACCCGCTGCTTTCCCGGATGGGGCCATCAGGAAATGTGGGAACGAGCGGTCTTCCCTCCCTCCCCCTGGCCCGGGCTCCCAGCTGCTGGGGCAATGACGGCGCGGGCTCTGAGGCTGGCACAGGCACAGACAGGTGGCGGGGTGCCCACCTGAGGTCCAGGCCCTCCTGCTTCCACAGCACATCCATGAGCTGGATCATCTGCAGGGTCAGCATGTCCTGGCGGAGGTCTGCAGCGGCCGGAAGGAAGCGCACGGTTCCCAGTGGGTCCTGCTGCGCCAGGTCCCTAGGATCCCTCACCCCGTCCCAGTGCTGCCGAGCCTGGCTCACCGTCCCCATTCTTGAAGATGATGCCCACGCTGCCCGTGCTGCCCGCCTCCTCGCTGCTGTACATGATCCACAGCGGCTTCATCTTGGAGTCCATGAAGGTGCACTGCTCCACGCTGCGGCCGGACAGAGCGCGGCGGTCAGCAGCGGTACCTCGGCCTCCGCAGGCACGGCCGGGGCGCGGGGCGCGGGAGGGAGGGCGTGGGGCTCACCACACTTCCTCCAGCAGGGTGCTGGGGTCCAGCGGGGACTGCAGGTGGGACAGCGCCTCCAGGTACGTCTCCTGCCGCATGCACAGGTGCATCAGCTCCTTGGTCTGGGGCTTGGTGGTCTTCTGGGAGCTCACCTTCACGAAGTCGTTCAGAGCCTTCAGCTTGCTCAGTGCTTCCCCCTGGCGGGGAGAGACGGAGCACAGCAGTGGGCGGGGCTGGCCCTGCCGGGAATTGAATCTGGGGGAGGCGGTTGGTGCCAGCCGCACCTGCTTCATCAGCACCTTCATGTGGTGGGTGCTGCCCCTGCAGTAGGCCTCCATGATGAGGCCGAAGCGCAGGGCCACCGATGGCACGTGCATCTCGGAGCTGCGGGAGGGACACGGAGGTGAGCCTCGCCAGGCCGGGCTGCAGAGCCCCTCCCGGCCCTCAGAGGGAGGATCTGGGGTGGCCAGGATGCCCGCCCTGCTGGGAATGTGAGGCCAGCAGGCCAGAGTCCCCCGCTTCCCTTAGGGCCAGGGCGGACCAGCTACCGGAGGTGCCAGAAGAGGAAATGGCCGATCTTGCGGTTGGCCAGAGCCCGGTCCAGCAAGAACTTGGTCAGCTCGCAGTCCAGGTAGGACTCGTACTTGAGCACCTGGACCAGCTGCAGCAGGTACTGGAAGAGCTCGTCGTCCCTGCAGGAAGGGAGGCCGGCTGGGGCCCGGAGCGAGGCCACCGCGCGGGGGCGCGGCCCGACTGCTCGGCCCGGGAGCCCACCTCCAGGCGCACGGGGACTCACGTCAGCTTCCGCAGGGACTTGATGGCGAAGGAGCCCACGTGACAGTCGGGGAAGCTGAAGTCCAGCAGCTCCAGCGCGCTCAGGACGGGCAGCTCGGGCCAGGAGCACAGCAGGTAGAGCATCTGCGGGTGCGTGGTGGTCAGGGGCGGCCGGCGGCGCCCCCGTGGGCCCCCAGCTCCGGCCCTGGCACCCCCGGGCACACACCTGGGCCACGTCCTCATGCTTGTGCCACTTGGTGACCAGCAGCAGGCGGGCCAGCGCCTCAGGGAAGTGCTCCTGGACCTCGTGTCGCATCTTCCACACCAGGTCCTTCTCGTGCTCGTAGAGCTCCCCGGAGCCCCGCCGCTCCAGGATCTCCCGCAGCTGCAGCTGCTGAGGGGCGCGGGCAGCGTGAGGACCCGGCTCGGCCGGCTCCGCCATCCGCCCAGGGCCCCCGCTCACCTCCTCCTCGGTGATGTGCCCGCGCTGCTCCCCGTGCCGCCCCAGCTCCAGGATCTGCGAGAAGTTGCCCCACTCTCAGCGCCCCCGCCCGCCAGCCCTGGCGCCTTGGCCCTGCGGCCGCGCGCTGTGGGGGTGGGGCCCGCACCGGGCACTGCAGGGTGCTGAGCAGCGTCCCCCCTACAGCCAAGCGCATAGGACGGCAGCACCACCCCCTCGCAGCCCGCACCCCCAAGAGCCCCAGAAGCAGGGCCCCTCCCGCCGCCGACCTTGTCCAGGGCAGGGTAGTACACCGGGTGGGCGGCCACCTCCGGCAGACAGATGACCAGGGCCGCGGCGCTCTCTGTGTTAGGGTTGCCACGCACGGTCCCCGCGGGGTTCAGCAGCTCACCTTTCTCGTCTGCACGCGGGGACACACGGGGTTGTATGGGAGAGGCCACTGCCTCTGGGACCCCACCCGCTCACAGTCCCTCCCGAGCCTGGGCCCACCAGGGACCGAAGGCCACATGTACAGGCAGCGCTCCCCCGTCTTGAGCTGGTCCCGGTAGTCGAACAGCATGATGTTGGCCCAGGCGATCGGGCAGTCCTGCGGGCACAGCAGCGGGTCAGGGCGGCCACGCCAGCCCGGTCCATCTGCAGCGCGGCTGGGGAGGGGGCCTCCCGCACCCTACGCACCGCCTTCTTGGACTTCTTCTTGGTGGAGCGGGCCTTCTTGGCCTTCTCCACCACAGCGTAGAGCGCGAAGCAGAGGCGGGCCATGCGGGGCAGGTCACAGACGCTGATGTCGAACTCCAGCCGCTGCTTCCACACGGGCTCGGAGCACACGCTCACCTCCGAGCTGGACACCGTCTTGCACAGCATCTCGTGGCCGTGGAAGAGCCCGGCCTGCACCACCAGCTGGGGACGGGGGCGCCGGACACAGGTGAGGGGAGCCGAGGCACCCACCTTCAGGGGTCTCCCAAACATCCTCTTCCCACTCAGGCCAGAGCCCACTTCCCGCGTGCAGCAGGGGCCAGTGGAGGCGGGCCGTGGCCTGGGTGGACACGTGGCCGTGGGGCAGGGGCAGCCCTGAGGCTGGCATGGGCATCGAAGTCTCCAGCCCCGTTGTGTGAGCTCAGACACACCCCTCCCCCAACTCTGGCCTCAGTTTCCCTCTCGGGGCTGGGTAATTCCAGGGGCCCTTCTGGTTCCAACCTACGAGCCAGCCCTGTGTGGGTGACAGGAAGGGTTTCCCCTGCGGCCTCAACCCCAGCATTCCCTCCAGCTCTGCCACGAATCCCTTCAGTGGACTCAGTCCCACTCAGCTTGCAAAACTCCCCCATCCAAAGGGACCCAGGGCCACGCATGGTGGCGCACGCCTAGAATCCCAGCACTACTACAACTTAGCAAGACCCTGTTTCAAAATAAAAAAATAAAAGTACACCTGACATCCCAGCACTCAGGAGGCTGAGGCAGGAGGATTGCCGTGAGTTCAAGACCAGCCTACGCTACTCCCAAAAAACCAAACCAATACAAAAGAAACAAAAAAGTGGGAGGGTGTTGCTCAGGGTTAAAGCCCTAGGTTCAATTCCCAGTACCCCCTAAAAAAGGTGGGGGATCCTGGCAGGAGATCTGGGTTTGTTTCCAGGGGCTGCATCCCACAGTGAAGCTGACACGGGACAGGTGGTTCTGAGGCGCAGGGGACGGCGAGTGAAGCTCTCTGAAGAGCAACAGCGAGGTGCAAGCTCCCACTGTGTGTTCTTGAAAGCTGCAGGGACCGGGGACAGGGCATGAAGCCCTTCCAGCACCCGGGGGAGCACCGGCTCAGCTGGGACCTCTCCCCAGACCATGCCTCCTTGTGCCTGGCTGGGCCCGACTCCCGCCCCCGCCAAAGTCAAATACCCAGAAGCGGCTCGGCCCCATTTCCACGAATCAGCCTCCCTGGGTGGCTTCTCCCTCCCCTCTTCCTGTTTTGCAGCGCCCAGAGCCACGCCGGCGAGGATGCTGGGTAATGTGGTCAGGTGGCTTTCGTGTGACACCCTCCCACTCTCCTTCCTCCGCCGCCCTCCAGGCCGCAGCCACCCTGTTTGTGCAAAAAACACAGCTCCTTCCCTCGCCCAGGCCGGGCAGGCCCCTACCTTCATGCGCTCGTCTGCGTTCACCTTGCTGCCCTGGATGAGCTCGATGCAGAACGGCTGCTCCAGCGCCCACAGGGACATGGAGGAGGGCTGGGGGAGGGGCGGGGAGGCACAGCTCACATCCCTGGAGGGGGCCGCGGCCCGTCGGCGGGCGAGGGGCTCGCAGGGCTGTGGCGAGGCACAGACACCCGTCCCTGACAGCAGCCTTTACCAGGAAATCTGCCCCGCAGGCGCCCAGGGCCCGCTCCCCAGACACCTCCGTGGGAGCAGTGCAGAGGCGGGGGCCCCCACACCGCTGCCAGTCACCCCAGCTCCCCCGGCTCCGGTGAAGCCCCGACTCTCAAGGGCCCAGACCCCGGCCACTCCAGCAGGCTCTGGATGGAGGGGCGCGATGAGGGAAGGGCCACAGCCACTCACCTTCTTCGAGGGGATGGGGGGTGGTTTGGGGCGTGGCTTCTGGACCTGGGGGGCCGGGTCGCCCTGCTCGTCCCGCATGGCCAGGATGGAGGAGGAGTGCACCATGGTGAGGTGCGGGGTCAGCCCGTTGTGCAGGCAGCTGCAGATGTACTGGGGCGGCGGGGAGCAGGGTGAGCTGCCTGCGGGCGGCCCCGCTCCCAGCATTGGGCCACGGGCCGCCGGCCTGGCTGATGCTGCCCCGCCCACCTCCGCACTCGGGGAGGGCTGCCCGGGCCTCACCTGGAACTGGCAGAGCGGGTAGCTGCCGTACAGGTACTCATGTCTGCCGTTCACCTGCAGCGCGTAGTCCTCCGGCTGCTCCACCAGCGGCTGCCGGAAGACCGTGGCCTTTTTGCGCAGGGCGCAGGCCATCAGTGCCAGAGGCATGTCCTTGGTGGACACCTGGAAGGTGAAGCTCTCCTGGGGGGCGGAGGGAGGGTTAGCCCTCTGCCGCCCGGGCCGGCAGGCTTCTGGGCATTGGGGCGGGGTTTCTGAAGTGTGACTGGGGAGCCCCAGGAAGGCAGGGTCTGTCTAGAGCAGTGGTGGGTGAAGGCACCCAGGAAGCATGGTTCCGGGAACGGATAGTGGGCAGTGCCGTTTGGTCATCTCCTGGTGGGACATTCGGCCGGGCCCCTCTCGGGCACGGACACCGACCGGCCCGTCGCATCTGAGGCTTTGGAGAGGAAGGCAGATTCGGGGGGCCTGCTGGGGAGGGGAGGCCCCTCGTGGGCCCTGCAGCCCGGACGCGGCAGCTGGGCCGGGGTCCCTGGGAAGCAGGCCCTGCGGGCTCACCTCGCTGCCCTCGAACTTGACATTGACCAGCAGGGCACGGTTGGGGATCAGCGGGGCGCCGGGTCCCCCGCTCCTGGCCGAGGGCTCGAGCTGCAGGGGGAAGCTGTACTGCAGCCAGGCCTCCCAGCCCAGCTGCTGGCGCCGCACGGCCGCCTCCTCGCAGAACTGGCGCATCTTGGCGCGGAAGTCGTTCACCTCCGGGTCACGCAGGGAGTCGAAGTCGTGCAGGCCTGGGGCGGGGGCGGCGGGGTCAGCGTGCGTGCAGGGCCTCCCCCGGGGACCCGGCGCCCGCACAGCTACCTTTGCCGATGAGGAGGCTGATCTGGGAGTTGATGAGCTTCTTGACGCGGTCGCCCTCCCGGGCCACCACGCGCAGCACGGGCAGGAAGGGCTGGACGTCACACAGCCGCCGCTGCTCGTCCTCCAGCTCCTGCTGCTCGGCCGTCTGGTTGACACAGGTGAACACGTAGGCCTCGGGGTCGCTGAGCATGTGGAACAGCGGCTCGTACTGCGCGCGGTGCCACAGCACCTGTGGGGACAACACGCTCAGCCTCGCCGGCCCGGGGTCCCACGGGCTACCATCCAAGCACCCCAGGAGACCCTGGGACTGACCGTGTGACCCCCAGGCCTCCCGTCCCTGCCCTCTGTAAGGGTCCCGGGACGAGCTGACACCCGGGCTGCATCCCCTGTCCTCCCCCACAGGTCGCATGGACCTCCTCAGGCCACGCGGGAGACAGCAAGCATGCTCTTCAGTGATCGTCGGCAATCGGGGCTCATGACCTTGATTTATAAATGTTGGAAACTAATTCACAGAAGTTTAGCATGCCCATTGGCCGTGGTGGTGTATGCCTGTAATCCTAGAACTGGGGATGCTGAGGCAGGAGGATTGCCCTGAGTTTGAGGCCAGCCTGGGCTACATAGTGAGACCCTGTGTCAGACAGAAAGAGACAGGAAAGAGAAAGAGAGAGAAGGAGAGGGAGAAGGAGAGGGAGAGAAAGGAAAAGAGAAGTTTTAAAAAAAGAAAGGTTTAATATGCCAACGAGGCACCGAAAATATCTCTGTGGACAGTGCTGGACAAAGGCCACCAGCACAGCCCCCAGGTGTGCCCAGGGCCTGTGGCTGCAGAAGCAAGAGGACACTTGGCTTTAGAACAAGGTGCTTAGCCAGGCGTGGTGGTGAACACCTGTAATCCCAGCACTCGGGAGGCTGAGGCAGGAGATCACAAGCTTGAGCTCAGCCTGGGCAACTTAGGGACTTAGCAAGACCCTGTCTTGAAAAAATAAAAAGGGTTAGGGATGTAACTCAGTGGGAAGGTCTGAGTTCAAAAAGAGAAGCAGAGCTGGGTGTGGTGGTACACGCCTGTAATCCTAGCACTTGGGAGGCTGAGGCAGGAGGATCATTGTGAGTTCGAGACCAGCCTGGGCTACAAAGTGAGCTCAAGGCCAGCCTGAACTGCATAGTGAGACCCTGCCTCAAAAAAAAAAAGACAAAAAAAGGGGTTAGGGATTTAGCTCAGTGGCACAGCGCCTGCCTGGCAAGCACAAGGTCGTGAGTTCGATTCCTGGTACTGAAAAAATAAAAATAAAAATAAAAAAAATAAAAAAATAAAAAAATAAATTAAGAAAAGACAAAAAACAAAACAAAACAGCATGATGCTCCCCGGGTCACAGGGAAGACAAGAAAGGTGCCGGGTGCTGCCACCTCGGGGGTGGCTGGTGACGCTCAGTCCACGTGACGATGAGGCAGGGCTGTGACAGCACGCAGGGGGACGGGGACGGGGACGGAGGAGGAAGACCTCAAGATTCGTGCTACACACAGACCTCTGCATCCCAGCAAAACAACCAGGAGAAACTCATTATTCTAGAGCAGGATTTGGCAAACTGCCGTTTTTGTTCTTGTTTTCTTTTGCTTTTGAGGTACAGGGGATTGAACCCAGGGCTTCTGCACTGAGCAACAGCCTCAGCCCATCTTTTATTTTTATTTTTTTATTTGGCGGCAGAGTCCTGCTAAATTGCTAAATTGCCTGGCTGGGCTCACACTTCAATCCTCCTGCCTCAGCCTACCAGGTTGCTGGGATTACAGGTGCGCCCCACCATGCCTGGCTGCAAAACACGGTTTTCCTGGCACACACCAAGGCCTTCACGTGCATATTATCCAGGCTGCCTTCACCGGGTCCTCGGCTGGCGTGAGCAGGCCCAGCGCCGAATCACTGCAGCGGGCAGCAGAGCGGCCAGCCCTGAGCTACTTACTATCATCTGGTCCCTTGTGTAAATCAACAAATGAAGAAACTGAAATCAGGTCGAGGCATGAGCTGAGACTGCAGGGACTGGTGTGGGGGTTTTTTTGAGACAGAGTCTCACTATGTATTCCAGGCTGGCTTTGAACTTACCACATAGCTCAGTCTGGCCTTGAACTTGTGGCGATCCTCCTGCCTCAGCCTCCCTAGTGCTGGGATTGAGAGATGTGCACCCCGACTACCGGCTAGAAACATCATTGCTGGTGCTGTTGGTACTGAGGGTTACACCCAGGCCCTGTGCAGAGCTGTTTCCAGCCCCCTTTTTTATTTTGAGACAGGCTCTCCTTAAGTCAGATAGTCTGGACTCAAACGTCCAATCCTGCCTCAGCTTCCAAAGTGCTGGAATAACAGGAATACACCATCGTGCCTGGCTGAGAAACTCAATTTTTAAAGAAATCTCCCAGGAAGGGGCGCCTAAAAACCCCTCAAGGATGGTGCACTGGTTTTACCACTTCTTTTCTGCTCCCGATGACAGCTTTTACAGCTGTGAGCTAAGGCCACACCCAGTGGCAGCCCAAGGCAGGCTCTATGAGACCCCACACTATGTAAGTGCCACAGGCCCTTTGAACGTCACAACCGCTACCAAATACCACCCAGATGTTCCATGCTCTGACCCAGTAATACATCCTGCAAATTGTACCATGGACCAGAAACTCTTTCCTGGAGTGATGGGCACGGGAGTGGAGACGTTTCTGCAAAGGCCTGGGAGTCGCCTAGGTAGCTATGCATGGGTGTGGTTTCCAAAGCGAGGCCCAATTGAGAGGCAGATGAGAGCCCCCATGGGAGCAGCCCTGGGGGTCAGCTGCCAGTAATCCAGTGATCCAGTAATCTAGTGACCTACTTGATCCAGTAATCCGGTAATCTAGTGATCCAGTAATCTAGTGACTACTTGATGCAGTAATCTGGTAATCTAGTGATCTGGTAATCTAGTGATCCAGTAATCTAGTGATTCAGCAATCAAGTAGATCTAGTAACCTAGTGATCCAGTAATCTAGCACAGGGAAACCTCTACCGCTAAAGAGGGAAGCTGGATTCTCAGTGATAAGTGGAGCTGACCGAAAGTTTTTGACCATTCTTGATTGGAGGATCCTGAGTCTAAGAAATGATCAGCCTGTCTGTCCATCTGTCCGTCTTCCTGCACCCAGGTCTGAACCTGGGTTTGGGGTCGGTGCCGTACCTGCTTGATGGTGCTGAGGTTGGCGTTGCGCGACACAGGGAAGTTGAGGTAGACCCCTGTGGGCAGCAGGAAGTCCACCACCACGCTCTGGTTCTCCTCCTTGGTCCAGCACTCCATGGGGCAGTCGACGCCGGGGGCCATGGCGCCGCTCACTAAGCGGAGGCGGAGGCCGGCTGTCCTGCGGGCGGCGAGGGGGCAGAATGAGTGCCGAGTGCCCTGAGGGATTGCGGGAGGGCTACAGCTATCGGGACTGAGCCCCAGCCCCCCGGGCTCTCCCACCCGCCAGGCCACTGTCGGGCCACTTCTCCTGGCGGGGTCGGGGAACGCTGCCTGCACAGCCGGGCAAACACAACCGTACGGGCCAGGCTCCAAGAAGCCCAGGCTAGGTCATTTCCCCGCAGGACCCAGCACATCTGGCACAGCTGGGGCACAGAAGGGGGAAGGCACGTGGCTGGACAGACACCCCAGGACCTCAGAGAGACGAAAGCCTGCAGCCTCCATAACATCATCACCACCATCACCACCACCATCATCTGAGGTACTGGGGATTTAACCCAGGACCTTCACACTGGGCTACATCCCCAGCCCTTTTTATTTCTTTTTGAATTTTGAGACAGGGTCTCACTAAATTGCTCAACTGTCTGGGCTGGGCTTGAACTTGCCCATCCTCCTGCCTCAGGCTCCCCAAGGCATGTACCACCACACCTGGTTTATCCTCTGAAACTTTCTCACCAGAAACCAAACGGCTTCAAACTGGCTCTGGCCAACTGGTTGAAATGTCTCAATCATACCAAATCCCCAAGTCATCCTCCCCTGCCCCCAGCGAATAACAAAACATTACACACATGATTGAAGGTCCCTGTGTACCCCATGGATCCAGGGCACCTCTCCCTCCTCCCGCCAGCACCCCCACCCAGGTCACCCCCACCTGGAATCCGCTTGTTTACAGTTTCCACGCATAGTTTCATACTTTCAGCACACAAACATGTACCCACCAGGAATCCCTGATGTCCTGGTGTGGTTTAAAATTAACCTTCTACCACAGCGCAGCCTCCACCAGCTGCTCTGCACGCTCAATTCCCCTTCCAAACACTAAGCCTGGGGCAAGGAAGCACCGGTTCTCTCCCCCGACTTCTGTTGATGAACCCGAAGGGTTGTTTCTACTTTCCCGGGTGTTACAGGTAACGCTACAGTGTACACGCTTGTGGTGAAGTCGCTGTAAAAGCCAGGATGAGATAAACCTCGCCCGAGCCCAGTGCTTAATGTCAAGGTTGCCGCAGCCACATTGAAAAGAGGGAAAAGACACGGGAAAGTGAAGTTTTATAATATATTTTTATGTAACCCAAAATATCCCAAAAGATGACCCTATAAACACGTCATCGATATAGAAAAATTACTTTCCCCCCAAAAAACAGGGCCTCACAATGTAGTACAGGCTGGCCTTGAACTCTGTAGGTAACCTGGGCTGGCCTCGAACACACGGGGATCTTCCTGCCTCAGCCTCCCCAGCACCGAGATTACAGGTGTGCGCCACCATACCTGGCTCGGAAACGGTGTCATGTTATTTTGATGGGCATTTTCCTGATGACCCACAAAACATTTATCTTTCACACAGAGTCTGCTTCTAACGTTGGCCCTTTTCCCAGGGGGTTGTTGTTTTCACGTCAGTTTATAGACCCTCTTTGCCTTCCCCTCTTGGCTTATCCACCCCGTGTGGATGAAATGAGCCGGAGACATCTCCTAGACTGAGTCACCTTTTTGCTCTATTTGGTGCCTTTTTGACAAGTCAGAGTTTTTAACCTTGGCGTCTAATTTATCAGTCTTTCCTATTATGGAGCTGGAGGCGGAGTCCAGCAGTCGGGTTTAGGACTCACGAGGCCAGGTTCGGTCCCCAGCATGCAAAAAAAAACCGCGAAAAACAAGACCAACGTCCCTCCCTCCCATAAGGTCCCGCTCTCCTACAGGACTCTGGACGCGGCTGCAAGGACACCTCCGTTTAGGGGCTGCTCTGTGGCTGCCGGTGCCCGCTTTGCCCACTCCTCGTCCTCGGCGGTCACGGACGCAGGACCACACGTCGCCTGTCTTCCCAGGCCACTGCTGCTGGTGGCCACTTCCTCTGATTATGAAAGCATAACCTCCCTGGGTTCCTCTTTCTGAGAGTGGCCAGGCCAAAGCCTTCCTTTCTGATTTGAAACTTGGGGTGCAGCCAGGAATCCTGGAGAATCCACACACCAGGCTGAGCACTCACCCGCTGAGCTTGGGAAGTCACTTGGTCGCCCAATCAGCCGGGCACCAACTCCTAGGGACCCTGACCAAGGCCTGGGTTCTGAGAAAGACCCTCACTCTGAGCCCCAGCACCTCCGAAATGAAGTCTTCAGCTAGATTCACCCTGCTGGGGGTGCAGTGAAACACTTTCTTAGAAAAACCTCATTCCTAACAGACTCCGGCAGCACGCAGAGGACACCAACCAATGCCAGAGATGGGACAGGGCAGCAGGACGCAGCGGTCCCTTCCGGCTCTTTGCAAGGGGGACGCTCTCCCCAGGGTGAAGCCAGAGCCGTCACCCCCCAGGGTGCCAGCAGCAAATCCAGGGAGAGACCCAGCCCACGGGAGCTGAGCGGCGCAGCCACTTTGGAAAAGTTTGATGTCATCAACCAAGGGGACACAGCGGCCCTGGGACCCACAAGTCCACCCCAAATCCGCACCCAACGAAGATGCGGGCTCAGATAGGCCGGAGGACGCGTGTACGGGGGTCCACACGACCCGCCGGGAACCCGAGAATGCGTTTGAGCAGGAGACGGGAAGGTGCACCGTGCGCGTCACAGCACAATGCCACGGTGTCGTGAGGCGGGGACAAGGGACAGCCTACCACGGCAGGGCCACTGACGACAGCCGATGCAGGGGCGCAGCAAGACACCTCGACTCCTCCAACCCCCAGTCCCAGACACGGGGCCCAAGGCACAGCCGTGCCGCAGCGGAGCCACACGCTTGGGTCTCAGTCACACACACGAGTGTTCACGCCCGTCAGTGCCCTGGGGACGAGGCACGCACACGCATCCCCCCGTGCCCAGGCACGCTCTGCATGGCACAGGCGGCAAGAGGGGAGTTTGGGTCCTGCCTCTCCAAGCGACAAACACCGTCCTCGCTGAGGGAACCTGGGCCAGTCACGCTGCTCCTCCAGAGGCTGCTCTGTGAGGTGGCCACCCGGGCCCTAGAGCAGGACTCAAAAGGACCCCTGGAGCCATCACCGCACACCTGCTAGAGGACAGACGCTCGTGCTCTGAATGGCCAACATCTGTGCCACATCTGGATCTCAGAGCTGAATGTTATGACCAACTCACCCGAGAGAAGGTGCCTCTGTCACAGAAACTCCTAGAAGGTGCTCGCACACACCGTCCAATTTTCTAGCCTTAGCCCAGGCAAGGAGGGTGCAAACCAGCGGCCACCTCAACAAGGGACAAGGTTCCTTGCAGGGTAAGTGGATGATGACCACAGTGGGTAACTTGGTGTGCTAAGAACCACAACCACGCCTCATTTTCAGCCTCAAAAGTTCTTTTATATTGGCTGTGGTGGCACACACCTGTAATCCAGTCCAGCACTCTGGGAGGCTCAGGCAGGAGGATCTCAGATCAAGCCTAGCCTGGGCAACTTAGTGACTCAGCAAGACATTGCCTCAAAATAAAAAATAATAAAAGGGCTGGGGATGTAGCTCAGTACGAAGGCCCTGGGTTCCATCCCTGGTACTGTTAAAAACAAAAAAAAAGACATCTGTCTAACCAAGTGCTTTGCTGCCTAGCCAGCTCCCACAGAGGATGAAACAGGCTCATCTGCTGGGTCCGAGGCCACAGGTGCTTTCTCCTTGGGGCCGCTTCCTGGCAGACCGCTCACCCGCAAGGAGCCTTCTTCCAAAAACCGCCATCCTGTGCTGGGCCACGAAAGCCCAGAGTCTTGAAAGCCTTGGGGATGCAGATCAGGCGACAGATCTCCGGGTGACAGGTGGGTGACGGGGAACGGAGGAGTCTGGAGCCTCAGCGTCCTGGAGCCACGGCGAGGAGGCCAAGTATTGTTACAGCCACGTCAAGAGACCAGGGAGGGTGTCAGGCACGGAACTGAGTTGCCCTGATTTTTATTTTTTTGGTACTGAGAACTGGACCTAGGCCTTGACATTGAGCTACTTCCCCGGCCCTTTTTATATTTTTTATTTTGAGACGGGTCTAAGATACTCATTACATATTGTTTGTGCAAGTGATACCAAAAATAAGGAAGAGCCGGGCGTGGTGGCACGCGCCTGTAATCCCAGCACTCGGGAGGCTGAGGCAGGAGGACTGTTGTGAGTTTGAGACCAGCCTGGGCTACAAAGTGAGCTCAAGGCCAGCCTGAACTACACAGTGAGACCCTGCCTCAAAAACAAAAAAATAAATAAATAAGGAAATGACTGAGTAAACTGCCTTAGTCACCTTCTTGGTGAGACACAACACCCAACACCTGCACACTAAGGCGGCTGCAGCGTGGGCTGGCGCAGGAGAGGGCCCAGCGGAGGAGAGGAGCTCACAGTATGGTGGAGAGGAAGCACAGAGAGCTCGAGGAGGAGCAGGAGAGGGAGATGAACCCTTCCAGCCCGCACCCTGGTGACCAGCTCTTCCCACCGGACCCCATCTCCTGATTGCAAGTCAGCTCTCACCTGATTTCTTGAGGGAAATCCAGAGATAAACCATAGCAAGCATTCCTCCCCTGGCCCCTAGAAGACTCATGCTCATCCCCTTACGCAAATGCCGTAGGTCCATCGCTGGGAGTTCCCAAAGCCCTATCAGTTCCAGCACTGCTGAAAAGTCCAAGTCCAAAGTGTCCTCTGAGACTCAAGGCAAACTCCCCTTGAGCCCATGTAAAAATCACAAGAGAGTTAAACGCTGCCGACACATGATGGAACAGGATAAACCTGCCCATTAGAAAAGAGAGGAAGGGGGCAACGGAAACCAATGAGGCCTGGAATAGGCTTGACCTCGCAACCTTCCTGCCTCAGCCTCCCAGAGTGCTGGGATTGCAGGTGTGTACCACCATGCCCAGCCACAGAATAAACTTGATTTTCAACTCTGAACTTATTTTTAAAAAATGAACTCATGCTGTCCTGTACATAAAACACACACAATGCTCTCCTCTTTTTCTGAATGTAAGATAATT